TTGGCTTGTCCCACATTGATTTGGTGGGGGAGTTTTGAAAGGTTTATAAGGCTTAGGGTGAGATACTTGGGGTGTGCCCCAAGGGGTACCCAAGTGTTTTAGAGGGAGAGGTTATGGGCAAAATGGGCTAGACCCATTGGACCCAAAAATCACCACACGCACGCCGTAGGGTCGAGCGGGCTGGGCTTGGGCGCGGCATGGTTGGGTTTGGCTTCTAATCTTTTTGGGCCCAAAAACATTTGAATTTAATTTTACTTTTGGTAAAATAAAATCCAGAATTCAAATTAAACTGATTTGGATTTTCTGTACATTCAAACAGGGCCCTTCCCGTTTTCAAACAGAAATAAACTAGTTTGGAATTAGTGCACACCAAACAGGGTCCTTCCCGTTTTTTGCTATCTGTTTGAATTATTAACAGATTCAAATCTGTTTAAATTCAAAACCAACAAGTATCATACCTGTTCAATTTAAAACCAAGAGCCACCTTTACATCTATAAATAGGACCACCTTCATTTGATGTTATTCATTTTCAGAAATTTCGTATTTAACCTCTACTTATTCTATTCTTCATTTTGTTACATTTTATTTCTGAAAGAAAAAGTGTAAACACTTAGTGTGTTCGTAAGGCAAACAATTTGTAGTGCTGCTATTGTTTGTGGTAGATCATTTCATCCTGGAGATAGATGTCCAAATTCTGAAAGCACCGTGGAGAGGACGAATCTGTCTTAAGGACACAGTGTCAAACACTGGACTTGATCAGAAAATAATTTGAAGAAATTAAATCAAGTAAGTTATTTAATTTATTTTCAGTATTGTTTTTATTTATTAAAATCAGATTTAAATTTTATTTTTGTAACAAAATAAAATCTGTTATTTATTTATTTATTTATTTATTTTTCCGAGTTTGATTTTTGTAATCAAACAAATTCTCTCTCTATTTCTTTTATTCTTGTTGTTGTTTTGTATACAACAGAATTTAATCCTTTTAAATACAGTGAAGATTGACCAACAGTTTCTACATCTATAATTATTGAAGACTATGGACCAATTTGGAAAAATAGTTAAAAGTCAAATTTTGACTTTTAATTTATCTTGACTTATATTACTTTTCTATTTTTTTACCTATTTTTTCATTAAAAAAATTAAAAAATTAATTTTTAACTAAATTTTCAAAATAATCCATATATATTTATACACGTGTAACACACTACCTCATGTAAAGTAACTTTCAAGGTCGGCAGCCGAGGTGGGAAATGGAGAAGCGCCGGTATGTGTGGGGTCTCAATTGTCAAAGGAATTCCACTGAAAAAGATTTAGGGGTGTTTTGAGAAGTTGGTAAAAAATTAATTTTTGATTTTCTATCAATTTTTTTGATTTATTTGGAAGTGATTTGAGAAGTTGGTAAAGATTAATTTTTTTGATAAATTTTTAAGTGGCTTTTTTGGATCTTCCCAAATGGAAGGTTTGGGAAGGTTTGGCGTTTCGGGAAGTTGTGGCGTTTTGGAAGGTTTGGAAAAACGTAGCTTTTTTATTTGTTGCCAAAACGGCACTTAGGAGCAATTTGGAACTTGGTGAAAAGACATTTTTTTTTGACTTTTTACCAAATTTTTCTAAAAATGTCACAAAAAAATTATTAAAAAAGTCAGTTTTTTTTTTTGTTAAAAAAGTCACTAAAAAAATTAAAAAATAAAAAAATTAACTTTTTATTAATTTCTTAAAACACCCCTAATTATGATGAAATAATTAACACTTTGTAGTTGGATTATTCAAATTTGACTTGGATTAGTTGTAGTTTTATGTAATCAGAAAAATATTCTTATAAATTTTTATTAAGAAATTATTTTTTTAAATACTTATATTTCAATTAGTTCATAATATATTATTTTATTTTAATAAGTCTTATTATATGGATATTTGATCCATTAAATCTTAATTCTCATATTAAGATATTTCATGAATAATTTTATCTTGAAAAATGCTATAGATCCTAAATTTTCTACTAAATAAATAACTAAATGTCTCACATAGTTGTGAACCCCACACTGTTGTGGACTACACACTCATGTGAGACATTTGATAGCAAATTTGATATTTCTAACATTACGTGAACATTCATATTTTACAGTGTGAATGTTCATATCACGAAATATTTACACTGTTAATGTGAATATTATTATTACGGATATTTTGATAACTATTTTACCCATAAAATTTATTGGAATATAAGAAAATAATTTATATTAAGTGAAAAGAATTTATGAATAAATGTCTCTTTTTGTTAATGAAATACAAAACAAGAAGTAATGGCCTCTTTTTTCTTACCTAATTTTCTCACTGTTAGACAAAAACTAAGAGTAAATCAGATTTTAATAGTTAGACTTAATTCTCATAAAGTCCTATTGAAAATAAATTTTAGTAAAATCATCACTAAAAATAAATTTTTGCAACTATTTTTTGCATATGTCGTTAAAAATTGACAATTAGTAACTTTTTTTTTTGTCACGATTTTTATAAATTATTGCTAAAACTTATAATTAGTGATATTTTTCAGTAACAAAATTTTCAAGTTGCCGCTGAAAGTTAAAAGTTAGTGATATTTTTGTGATGATTTTTTTAAATTGTCGTTAAAAGTTATAATTATTGATATTTTTGGTGACAATTTTTAAATTGTCGCTGAAAATTAATAATTAGTAACTTTTTTTAATAATATTTGATTTAAAATGTCATTAATTATCATGGAACCTATTGATACATGTGAGCCCACCTTCATAAATGCATATGGGATTAATTTACTTACATTTTAAAATAAGAAAAAGAGGTAATAGATATGATTATATATAATATTTTTCTATATATATATAATCCATGTCAAATCTAGAGCATATTATATTCCTAAGTATTATATCATATTCACTCTCTAATTTCCAATTCAAACGATCAAAGAAGACTTAAAAATTTTTGTACACAAAATTTATTGCGCTTTTACGTCAACAAATACATAGAACTTTTTTTTTTTTTTTTTTTGGTAATATGTTAAAATAGTTTAAAACTCAACAAGTTGTTACAAAAAAGTTAATTATTCTTTTTATATTTTTATATATTTTTTATAAAAAATTAAAAAGTAAACTAAAATAATCAATTATTAAAACAACTCATAATCTCAAGTTTAAAATTAAAATAAAATAATATTAAACTACTACATAGTTAGAAAATAAATAAATAAATAAAAATCTCACAACTTAAAATCACTTTATTTCGATGGGACTTGAAACATAAACTGACCACAACAGAAATTATTGGAGTGAAAATAGTAGGGTTCGAATCCATACAAATTAGTAAAATTCACAATACATTAAACGAGTTGAGCCAATAATGGCTCAAACTCATTATAAAAGGACACCTATTTCCACTAGTTTTGCACCACCATCATCAGATAAGTAGCCCAAACATGTCTACCAAACACCTGCTAGTGTTGTTCCTTGCAGTGGTGGTTCTCACCACTTCCTCCTTCGCCGACCACCACAAACCACCGTCGGAGCACAAGCCACCATCAACCGTAGAAGATGGTAAGAAACCTCCCATGGGAGCAAAGCCACCTCCAAAACACAAACCACCAACCCCTCAAGATGTTGAAATAGAAGACGGTAAAAAACCAACACCACCACCAAAGAAGAAACCACCAACCCCTGAATATATTGAAGTAGAAGATGGTAAGAAACCAACACCACCACCAAAGAGGAAGCCACCAACCCCTGAATATATTGAAGTAGAAGATGGTAAGAAACCAACACCACCACCAAAGAAGAAACCACCAAGCCCTAAATATATTGAAGTAGAAGATGGTAAGAAACCAACACCACCACCAAAGAAGAAGCCACCAACCCCTGAAAATGTTGAAGTAGTAGAAGATGGTAAGAAACCTCCCAAGGGAGAAAAGCCGCCGCCGAAGCACAAGCCACCAACAGCTGCAGTGGAGGAGGAGGTTGAAGATGCAACCAAGCCACCCACTGGAAAGAGTCCTCCTAAGAAGCCTCCACCAACCAGTTCCAACTGAGAGGCTTGCTTCGTTAAGATGGTTGCATTCTAGATTAAATAAAAGACCAGTTTGTATACTGGTTAATATGCTTCATTGTGAGTCAAGTATTTCTGTGAATCAGTTGTATGAATAGTTGGAATGTTCATGTGGTTGTCTAGTCATTGTAATGTTTGACTTTGCTAGTAGCTAATGGGCATGCATGCAACAATTTGTTTGTGCTAATCATGCAAGGCATTGAATATCATATGTATGAATATTCAGTTTGTGGAACCAACATTGTCATATTGTTTCTGAATGCAAAAATCATTTTGTTCACTCAAAATATAGTATTTGTGTTGTTGAACTATTAATTTAAATAATTATTCACTTAAATTACTGACATTTGTTCATTTTATCCCAATAACAGGTTAATATTTTTTTTTACAGCATATCAAACTTGCTTGCAGACACATGATTAATTGAGCGTACTAATTTACTTTGTCTATGAGACATATAATTAAGGAGACAAATATTCAAATATTATGTAATAAAACACAACTAATTATTGTGAGAATAATCAATAAAATATATTATACAATCAATTATAACAAACTAGTGTCTCTAGACAAATAATAAAAGTAGGATGTTGCTTGCTGTGGTTCTGTCTTGCTTTTGGGTGTGTCCAGTTGGTGCCTCACCAACTGTTTCTCTGGCTTTCATGCCTCTCTTGGCTTCTCCCTTTGTTGATAATGGTGATAGAGCTTTAATGTTGAATACGTTTGACTAATCTTCAAGGACTTGGAGGTCTGTTGGAGTTGGGAATCTTGGTGGTCTGATGTTTGATGGTTGCTTCAAGATAGAGGTGAAGCAGAGGAGGAGTACATCATTGTTCATTATGATGTTTCTGCTATTGCTGGGTGGTTTTTGCCTATTCTGTTGCTTGAAACTTGGAGAGGTGGCTATATATGTTGGGTTGTTGATTTTGGTATCTAGAAAGATTTATGGAGTGAGGAAGATAAGATGAAGCTAATTGAGGTTCATAGACAAATAGGTAACAAATGGGCAGCCATTGTAAGGGGAATGCCAGGGAGAACTGAATACACCATAAAAAACCATTGGAATGTAACAAAAAGGCGGCCATTCAGAAAGCGTAAAGGTCAGTACAGCTCTCTCTTGCAGGACTACATCAAGAGCTTGCCTTCAGATTCAACTGTCACTGATGGTCTGCACTGGTCTCATCACTGCTGATGTCTGATTAGTTGTTGATTGGTCAATGGATTGGATTATGGTGTTTTTGTTTTCTCATCAACTCTGGTATTTTGGATCCGGGTGTTTTTGTTTCCCTATCATTTCTGGTGTTGTGTGCTGCACTGCTGAAGTCTGCATTGATGAAGTTTTTGATGTGCTCAGGTGTTGTGTTTGGTTTCACCAACAAGCTTTCTGCTTTTTGTCTGGTTGGTTGTTGTTTTGAATTAGTTGTTGGTCTGAATGGAGTTCATGGTAGCAGAGGCTTGCACAGGTCTCATGTTGTTTTGCTGTTTGGTTTGTGGTTGGATTCTTGTGCTTTGGTTTGCTCACTGCTGTTGTGCTTACATAGTTGTTCTGTTTTTGGGGTGTCATGGACTTTTTTGTGTGCTAAGGGAGGAAGAACAGCAGTAGTATTCTGTCATGGACTGGGTAGATGATCTGCAAGGATCTGGTGAGTAGCAGCTGCAGCAGTATTGGGTCAGTCTGAAGAAATGCTGCATTGGTGGGCTGGGGGAGAGGTGAAGAAGAAGAGTTTTTGGCAACTGATACTACAGGGGAATAGTTGAATGTCCTGATGCTGAATGTTAGTTGCTACCTTGTGTTATGCTGTCAAGCTCTCTTGAGGAATGGTTGCTGTGGTGGTTTGTGTTGTATGTCCTCGGTCAGCATAGGAGTTTTGTGTGTTCTTGGCTGTGTGTTTTGCTGTATTGGTCTTTGTGTTTGTTTGTTTTTTTTTTTTTCCGAGTGTGGTTTTTTTTTTTTTTTTTTTTTTTTTTTCGCCGTTGGTTACTCGCCAACTTATGATGGTGTGCTAACAGATGATAGGGCTAATTTATCGGTGCCAACCTAGTTGAAATTGGTTTGTTTCATTTTGATATTTTTTGTACTCGTCGCTTTCTTTATTGATGTAATACTCTTTTGATTCATCAATAAAATTTATCTTTTGCTGATTTAAAAAAAAAAAAAAAAAAATAGGCAATGCATATGCACAAATATTTTTGACAAAATATCACATCTGTCAGTACAAACATGAGGGTATTCATTCACTTTTCTCTACAGTAACGAGGTAGATAAAGAAATAAATATGGGCCGAGTTGTTCCTTGAGCATGGAGGTCACTAGTCTTTGATAAGTTACCCCCGCATTCTTCAGCCTAAAAGGCATGACCTTGTAGCAATAGGATTCTCTTAGAGTGGGGAATGTGGTTTTTTCTTGATCCTCCGAATGCATGGCAATTTGATGATAGTCTCTGTAGGCATCCAAGAAACTCATGCGTTGATGATGTACCGTTGCATCTACGAGTTGGTCTATTCTGGGCAGGGGAAAACAGTCTTTGGGACAAACTTTGTTCAAGTCCGTAAAATCCACACAGACACGCCAAGAGCCATTCTTCTTCTTTACAACCGTAGTATTGGACAACCACGTAGGATAAGTTACTTCGCGAATCGCCCCGACGTCAAGTATATATACAATGTAACAAAACACAACAAATTATTTTGAAAAAATTTAATAAAACATAATAAAACAACTAAATGTAGCAAACAACTACTTCGGGATATAATTGAAATATAAAACTCGTGCACAAATATTTTTGTGTACTAGTAAGTGTCATATTTTGTCAAAAATATGACTCCATTGACAACTTAAGCAAAATGAACTAATTTTAAGGTATAATTGTTCAATTGATAGTTATAAAGAGTGTAAAGTGACATAATTGTTCCTCAATAAATAAAAAATGACATAAATGTAATAATTTAAGTTACGAAGGTGATTCTTTTTTTTTCTTTTTCTTTCTATTGATTGTGTTAGGTTTTATTTCTTGGCAATCCCGTTTGACAAAACTCCTTTGAGTTGTACTTTTATTCGCATTTTTAGTTCAGTGAGGCTATGAGTTGTTAGATGCGAATCCAACCCGAATCAAGCATTTCAGAGAACATAAATTTATTTTAATTTGTAATTGAGATGTTTAATTTTTTTTTTTTTTACTTTATTAAGTATAATTAATACCATGAATGCACCAAATATTAAATTTTTTTGACTTCATGCGTAATTCTAGTAGATCAAGACAAGGTAGCAATTGTGATAACAACATGACAAAGTTCTTGACTTCATGTGTCACAGATTTTATTGACTTCATGCCTAATTCTACCTTGTCATTCCAATTTTTTCAAGTGTTCAACTAAACATCTAGCTAGATTTTTAGTGTAGCTAGATTTTTGTATAAAAAGAATATATATCACAATCCTTGATATAAAAAATCACAATTTTATTATCATAAAAAATCAAATGATAACCTCAAAGCAAAAAAATCTGAAAACACAATTTGTGAACACCCTTACATAACAAAATCAACCTATATATTGCTTTGTCATGTTATTATCAGAATTTTTTTGCTTTGTCATAACCAGAAATCTGGAAACACAATACAAAGCCAACCATAGAAAGGCAATATATACAATTTCAATTAAATACCATAAAATGTATACAATTTCAATTTCAATTAGTCAATTATAAACGCCATAAAGGCAATATATGCAATTTCAATTATTCAATTATTCAATTAGGTGGAAATATAAACACCATAAAGGAAAAGAACTAATAAGGACACTTCACAATTTCTATTATGATCTGAAGTCTAAAGCAAAGATATTATACAAAGCCAACCACAAAAACAATATATAAAAAGCATCCCAATTATAGTTAACAAAATACGGGTGCTTGTACACAAAAGAAGTAATAATTAAGTTTATCAACAAGTTTATAATAGACTTAACAAAAAGCATTCCCTACCATGTATATGAAATCATGGCCAAAAGAAAATACTCCAATGAAATGCAACAAGTTTATTATGGAGCATGCCTACTTAGCAACCTCATCACCCACCTTAGCCTATCATCATGTGTCAAGCTGAAGAACATGTCAAGCTTTTGGACATCATGGGATATGATTTCACAAGCATCTAACCTTTCATCTACAGTAATTGGCAACTTCGTAAGTTCATCGTTTAGTGATGCCCGTTTAGATGCAAAATCATGTGAATACCCCATTCTTTTTCCAATGAATTCTAGCTTATTATTGGTTGTTCCCAAGACATCCACTAACTTGTCAGCAAACATGGTCAGCCCTTCAACTACTTCATCATTGGCTCTAGGTCTTTTCTTGTCTTTCTTTTTGGTAGAACTATCAGAAGGCCGTTGAGTTGTTGAGTTTGAATAATCCATTGCTTCACCAGTCTGACTATTTAATCCCATTTGTTCTAGAAAAGTGTCATTATCTGCAAGACCATGCAACAACACATCTTCTTCAGTATTCACAGCCTCAACTGCATCAGCAGGGTCTTCAGCAAACTCTCCTGTAGCTCGATCTTTGCCAAATATTTGAATCCATTCATCAAAATGTCGGAAAGTTTTGTTCCTCGGGTATTTTGCATCACTGTCCCTCTACAATGACCAACTAATCCCAATTAATATCTTCAACATAAGGTTAAAATACATATATGAAATAGTATGTAAATAACAAAAGGAGATAACTTTACCCGAACATATGCCTCCCATACACTATCACTCTCTACGTGAATTCTTTTTTCAGTATCATTCCATCCAAACCCACTAGTAGCAAGCATACTAGACATAGAATTGTATTGCTTCTTCCATATTTTAATCTTTGATTCGGTATGGGGAGAGCCACGTAAATCTGTGCCGGGTAACAACTCCGCCATTTTATTCTCCAATTTCATAAGATAGCCTGCCTTGAAAGAATTGTCAACTTTCATTCCATCATTCACAATGAACAACAAGGCTGAAATTAGACAGTCCTCTTCACGTGGGCTCCATATTCGCCTTTGTTTTAATGAATCAACCTTGTCATTCTTTTTCTTACGAGAACTAGATACCTCATTATCCATGCCTACAGTAATAATTGAACATTTCATATGCATTACCATAAAATATAAATAACTCACAAACATATATATCATAATACCAACCATTGCAAATATAATTCAACATCCATAATGTCAATTATTCATAAACGTACATAACAATGACACATCACAAATTTAAATTGTTTAACAACAAAGCAAAGTAGAAACACAAAGCTATGTTTATCCAGCCCCTCCATTAGCCAACCAATTGTTGTACAATTGCATTGCAAATGTATCCCGCCACTCAGTCCACTCGTTAGATGTCTCAACAGTCTCAATAAAATCATCTCCCATTGGGGGTTGATTTTGTAAGGCATCCGCTAAGTCTGGATCATCCTCTAGGGGGTCAACTACCATCTCTCGTCGAATGAAGTTGTGTAACAAGTAACATGCTGTGATAATTCAATTTTGGGTTCTAATGGGATAGAATGATGCACTGCGAAGTATAGCCCATCTCATTTTCAACATTCCAAAAGACCTTTCTATGATATTCTTGGCTGATGCATATTTCATGTTGAAATATTCTTAATAATTATTTGGCGTTGCTTCTTCTCTCCAAACAGACAAATGGTATCGCTGACTACGGTAAGGTGCTAAGAATCCTTTCCCATTCGTATACCCCGCATCCACTAGGTAATAGTAACCTGTGCGTGGAATGTTATGCATTGAATTAAATTTTTATTCTTGAATTTAAGAAAAATTAAGTACTTTTGTATTACCATTTAGGATCCTTAAGCCATTGGGTCGATTGATTGCATCTCTCAAAATCTTAGAGTCGGCTGCTGACCCTTCCCACCCCGGCAACACATATATGAAATTCATGTCTTGGGAGCAAACTCCCAAAACATTAGTAGCAATCTTTCCTTTTCTTGTCCTATACCTTGCTTGATGAACCGCAGGTACACGAACTTTAATATAGGTGCCATCGAGTATTCCAAGACAATTCTAAACAAACCAATTCAATAGACATTATAATAGTTATGATTTTTATTTTCGGTAAAAAAGATTTAATAAAAGAAATAAAAAAAAAAGTAATGCCGTGTTACCAAATTTTTACAAATCCATTACTTGGAAGCAATTCCACCTTGGATCGGTGCTTGCTTCAGTTATAGGATTTGGTGTGACGAGTAAATTGGCTTGCAGACGCAACACAACCTTTAAGACATCATTGAAATACCGACTAACAGTCTCTCCAGACCTATAGAAATTGAACTTAACATTTCGTATTTTCAAGTGTTGTGCTAAGATGAAGAGGAAAAAGGCCACCTTCTCTTCTAAAGTGACATATTTTGAATGCCCTAACCCACCTATCGTATGAACCATATTGCACAAGGTCATAAAATCACGCCGATCCATACGGAGTTGTTCAACACATGTTATGTCACTTTCTCTCACTAGACGGTTAATATAGTCCATTTGTTTTTGCAATCGATTGGGCTCTCTAATAAGGTTATGGCGATACTCAGATAAATACCTTTTTAAGACAACCTCAATGACAACAAAAGCTACGGCGCATAAGGCATGTATTTCTTGCATTACAACTTGCAACACTACGTATAATTCAAGCTCATCGTTACTGTCATCATCAAAATCATTGATATTCTGATCCATCTCTATATAGAAGAAAATATTTAAAATTATAAATAAATTAAGTAAAAGAGAAAACATAACGGCAAATCATAAACAATTTACTAAATAGATCGGAGAATAAATACAAGATCAGAAAATAAATAGAATGAATCTGTTGAAAATAAATGGATTATTTTATTGAAAAATAAACAAAATTAATGTTTTAGATTATTGGTCTTTTCATGGAGATGATAATCAACATTGTTTGTTTTGACATTTACAATTATGAGCTGCAATCAAAATCTGCAATACAAATTCAAGATCAAACATTAGTTTTTAAAACATATATTTTATTTACTTAAAAATGGAAACAGTGAAAGGAAGAGACAGGGAATAAGCTTCATTCCTTCGCCTTTCAATCTTTTTGACTGTGAATATGCCTTTACTGCTGTCATTGTGAAGTTAATTATTTTATTTTATTATATTTTGAAGGGTGTCATTGTCAAGTTATTAACATAGAAGCTCTGGGAAATGTCACACCACCTTGTATCTCAAGTTCTCTCTTAAGCCATTGCAGAGACAAACTCAAATAGCACTTCTTGTTCATGATGTGGCAAAATATCAGTCCTCAGCTACATGGTCTTACAAGTCACATATGTTGAACTTCAACCATGGAAAACCAAGTTAAAGAGCAAGTGGAAAAAAGGAAACATTTTGAAAGCAATATGTAGTTTTAGAATTACATTTCCTCTTTTCATAGAGCTCATACTCATTCCAAATGCCTATACTGATATTAGCCAACACGTATTCATGCTGTCAACAATACACCTTACATTGAGCTTCCTAAGGAAGTCTTAAGTTATTCAAGAGTGGTTTCTGTTTATTCTTTGCCTAAACCTCCACTGTATAAACAAAAAACAAAGCAAAAAAAAAGATGAAATCACCATAAAAAATTAGGGAAAAAAAAAGAGCCTAATAAAAATCAAATATAATTTTTTTTATATTTGAATTTGGACAATCCGTGCCATAACAAAAATTATTATTAAAAAAAAAAATTCTTTAAGCTAAACTTGGACTCAAGCTTAGATTTGTGCAAAGAATCAACCAATCCCAACCCACTAATTCTCACTGTACTTGGACTCATGCTAGATTTGTTTAGCATGTGGAATTTGTAGGAAAGAATGGATGGTGCTGCTGCATATCAAATGTGGGAAAAAACAGAGCATGGATTTGGAAAAAACAGAGCATGGATTTTCTTCGTATAAACAAAAAACAAAGCAAAAAAAAAGATGAATTGTTATAGATCTAAACTGAATGGATTTCTCTTTTGTATACTTGCCATCTACATAGATCCAAGGTAAAGATACATAAATCAATAAAACAAAGAAATCAACCAACAAAGCTAAAGGTTACAGATCTGGAAAAAAAAAAATCTGGAATAAATAAAAGATTGGAAAATCTGGAAAAAATCTGGAAAAAATCTGCTGAAAATAAATAGCATGAAGTTGCTGAAAATTAATAGAATGAAGCTTAGCAAAAAATAAATAGAATGAGTTTCAAACCTGAATGAAGATCGGATGCAAAGGTTCAACAGATCGAAGATTCAAGATGAAATGAAGCTCTTGCTCCTACAGTGAAATGAAGCTTCTGCAGTGAAAGCAAAATGGAAAAGCTAAAAGAAAGATGAGAGGGTCAAAGATGTAATAAAGCTAGCCAATCCCATGGGATACATTATCCCATAGATTCTGTCCTAGGCCGCCCTCGGGATACAATAAGCCAGTGAATTCCGGATTAATAGTCCGGAGGGATTATTAATCCGGACCAAAAAATCCATACCAAACAACGGACTATTAATCCCTCCGGATTAATAGTCCAATCCCATGAGTTATCCTTCAAAACAAACGAGCTGTAATAGTAATAATTTTAAGGTATAATTGTTCAATTGATAGTTATAAAGAGTGTAAAGTGACATAATTGTTCCTCAATAAATAAAAAATGACATAAATGTAATAATTTAAGGTACGAAGGTGAGGTGATTCTTTTTTTTTTTTTTCTTTCTATTGATTGGTTAAGAAAGTGAATTTTTAGTTTACAAATGAACTGTTTAAAATTATGAATGGGCTTTGCCACAGTAATTGAGGACCACATAAAGTTGCTGCAGAAATGGCAGTAAATATTATTTAATGTGGATCTAACAAACAAAAATAATGCTACTGCAAGATCCAAAAATGCATTTACCTTGTCTTTGCCGGATTCACAGGACCACCCACAAGTGAGCAGAGGAAGAAACAGTTCAATTTTCCTGTAATGCTGGACACATAGATAATATATAATTTAATAATTTTTTTTTAAAAAAATTAAAATAAAATAATTTTAAAATCATATACGATAAAAGTTTTTGTTACAAACATAGGATGCTAGATTATCACAATATAATCATTGCAAGAGAATCCTTGATTCAGAGTGTAGATAGCAAGTTTTTAGTGCAATGACAAGGTTGATTTTTATTTCCGATGTACCTAAAAAAGAGGTAAGGTTGATTTTAACTCTAGTTTTTTGTCTCTCGATCATTCTAAAACAATAAATTTGTTGTTTAATTTTTTTATTTTATGTCAAATAAAAGCAATAAAAAAATCACCGTCCAAATGAAAAATATTCCAAAGCAATAAAATGATGAAGGCAAAAGTGAACCGAGAAGGGTCCCAAAGAAGGCCCTTATTACACCTAAGGGTTACGAGAAACGAATTTCACATGGAAGTTCCTTACTACAGAGCATCTCTCAGGGCATTTTGAGATATTCTACCTCTACTCAATAATTTTTTTTCTCAATAATACACCAATATATATATTGAGAGAGAGAGAGAGAGAGTGAGTTAAAACACAAAAAATTGTACAAAAAGTGAATTATGTGGTCGAAATTCATTCAAGTGTGGCCTATTTTACACTTAGGCCCCGTTTGTTTTGGAGTGTAGAAGAAGGGAGGGGATTATGATAGAGGTGGGGCCCACTTAATGTTCTGTTTGTTTGTAGGGTTGGAGAACGGATTGATAAGCCAGAGGCTTAAAGATGGGCCTTGCTAGCAGGATTCATAGTCTGCCCTAACACTTGGTGTTGAAAATTTAGTCCGTTAGTATTAAGAGAGTGATTACTTATTTACCCGTCATTGTCCTAGCTCATCCTTAAAGAAGAAGCAGCAGCAGGAGGAAGGAGAGGCAAAGAGAAGCTCTCATTTTCTTCAGATTTTCAATCTGAAGTCTGCCCTACTCATCCTTGGAAGCAACATCAGCAAGAAGGAGAGGCAAAAAGAAGCTCTCACTTCTTTACAGTCTACCCTAGCTCTCTCTCATCTTCAGATCTTCGATCCTCAGATTCTGCAGAGCATCCGCTGGTATTTTTTTTTTGTTAAGCAAGGTATTATTTTTTATTACAAACCTCATTGGGGATGTAAATGCAATATGCACAATCTCAAACTCATCTAAGCTTTTTTGTTTTCTGTATATATATAAGGTTTGCTTTTATTATCCACATCTCAATCTTCCGTACTGTTTATATATACATATATACACAAATCCTTTTATTGTTTTTGGAATCAAAGTATTCGGAGATTCAACCTGGACAATTACCAGATCTATCAAATCATAATCACTATTCAATTTGATCTGAACCCGCGAAGATTCGTTGAATTTCTCATTGAATCGCTGCATGTTCTCTTATTTGTCATTCAATTTGTGAATTTGCAATAGTTGAATTTCAGATTGGGGGTGGTTTTGTATGTCAAGATCAGTGTTTTTCTTCATGTTTGTGTAATTTTTATTTATATTTAGGTTTTATGAATATTGGGTTTGGTTATTGGAGCAAAATTCAGTGGATTATTGTTGTGATAGCTGCATAATTTTGTTGGGTTTTCAATTGCTTTTTACCCACTCCCACTGAAATATATATATATATATATATATCTTTGACCCTATAGCGACTTAGCACAAGACAAAGAGCATATTAAGATTCAACTGTTGGAATCAATGAATGGCAAAGGGTAAGTGTTCTGATCTATTTTTGTGATCAAAGTTATGTTTGATTGTGTTTCTAGAATTCATTTTAAATTTAAAGAAAATATAGTTTGATAAATATATATATATAATGTATTTTTTAGGATTTTATTTTGTTACTGTGCTTCTCTATTCTTTATCCATTCTGTCTTCTTTTTAGTTGGCCCATCAAGTAGTTGATAACAATCAAGGAGGTAGCCTTTGAACATAGTGTTTTTTTTGGAATTCATTCCACTAATCTGTCTTCTCATCTGTAGACACCCTATTTTTGACTGCCCTTACGATTTGGACGTCACCATTTGCACACTCAATGATGAATGTATATGCTTGTTAAGTGCTCAGGGTCCCTAGCGGAATGCCACAGTTTTGAGCTTTTCAAACCCTACACACCTGTTGCCTTATTTTTGGACCAAAACTAGAGTTTTTCAAGCCTGCAACCTCTTGTGGCCTGCCGGCCTCTTTTATTGGTTGCCGGCCACTGCTTCTAGTTGTCGGCCATTGATGTGGCCTGCCGACCACCAGTGTGTTTTGCAGATATTTTTCTACCAACTGTTGGCACAGATGCATGCATCTTCTTACACGTGTATGTATAGATATTTATGAGGAAGTTGCATGGTTTTCTATATATAGGAGGCCTCCCCTTCCATTTTTAAGGTTGGAATTTTTAGAGCAAAAATTCTTTCTCTCTCTCTCTCTTGTAATTTCTTAGCTTTTTGCAAGCTTTTGCCTATACACTCTAAACCAAACCCCATCATCTTTGAGCTGAGGTACCTTTGAGCCTAGTTTGAGCTCTTGAGGGTGTGTTTGCCTTGATTTGTTGCCTTTAATTGGTTCTCCTCTTCAAGAGGTATAAAGCTTTGCTTCTCTTCTTGCTTTACTTACTCTTTTTTCTACTATTTTTCCTTTGTTTTGGGGCTGTATAAACTCTGTATTTTTGGGCTGAAACTTGTGGTGTAAGGCCAATAAGGGTTGAGGGGTGGTTCACCCTTCTTTATACCTTGCTTTCAAGGGCTTTACTCTTGTGTTTCCCATCTTTACACTATCTTTTTTTGAGCTTTTAAATACTAATTTTCAGAGTTATTTCAGTGGCCAAAATGTTGTTTTGAAGTCCAAAATTGCAGGAGTTAGCCTCCCCTCCTTGTGTCTTGCTTACTAGCCTAGCATGCTCTATGTTTTAATTGATTATTCTAGCTATTTTTGTCTTTATTCCAGTATGTTTTAGGACTTATTTAGCACTGTTTTAGGACTATTTTTAAGTGTTCATTGCATTTGAGCTTTGTATTGTATGCTTGTAGTGCAATTGTCCTCATCGGTTTGGTGGTTTAGGCCTTAGCCACTATCCTATTTAAGTTGATAGCATTTATTTCATGATTTCCTTACTTGTGATCACCTTTAATCACTTTTGCAACCTCTCTTCTTTCTTGGCTTTTGCTTTGCTTTGCTTTGCTTTGAGAGTTGTTTCAAACCTATTGTTCTTTTAACCTTGAGATTGAGGTTATCATGCTTAATAGTTTAATCTCTTTTAGGGGTTCATTATCAACGGTATGTCATCTCTCTCATGCCTTAAGCCAACTCTTGGTCTGACACTTTTCTCCTTTAGAGAACTTAAAACTCACTTTTGGACTTAATTGATTAAAGAATTGAAAGATAACTAAAATGAAGTAATAAAATTAGTGACTAAAAAATGGGCAAGATAATAATTTGGTTTAGGTTCAATCGGACGTTAATTAAACCCTTGAGTCTTGAGTCGTTTCATACTTATGAGTGATAAAAATGGCTCAAGATTCATTGTCAACTACTTCCCTTGATCACTCATGATAGGGAGGTGGTTTTGAGAGTCTTGTTTTGTTACATTTATTGAACTTGCACATTTTGGTTCATAAGCCATCATGCAATGAAATGGCATCCGTTGATGGTTTGCCAATCAAATTTTGCCACTCATTTGAGTTGTTTAATGATAAGGAGGGGTAAGTTGTGCAAACAACTCTCGAAGCTACTCTGCGCTTGCTCTGTTTGCTCTCTGTTGCAGCTGAAAGAACCAGGCAACAGTGACCGCTATGCCACCTCCTGTGGACGGCAGGCTATCATTGGTGGGCGGCAGGCCATCATTTCTAGCCTGCCGACCACCTGTGCAAAATCCAGTAGTGTACTTTTGAAGTAGAACATAATTGGTCTTGAGGTGGAAATCAGTGCAAGTGTTCTACTGTGCAACAGAGGCATTTGGCAGCAGAAATAGTGGTTTTTTTGGGTGAAAAGTCTGTGCATGCATAAGCATTCCTCATTTCCCGAGGAAGAGTAATTAGAGTAGTTAATTTGGTTACTTCATGTTGTAATTAATTAGTTAGCTAGAATAGTTAATTAATTTGTTGTAATAATTAGTTAAGTAGTTTAGCTAATTTATTCATTTTGTTTTGTAATAGTTAGTTAATTCGTAGTAATTAGCTTAGCTAGTTTATTCATTCGGACTCTCCTTCGTGAAAGCGCAAATGTTGTAATAATGTGTATGTCTTCTAACCCCACGTCTTTCTTCATTTTATTTACTAGCTTATGATGGTTAGTTTAGGGCATCATGTTTTGTTTAGCATCTCTCATGCCTTACATCCACTTGTATTGCATACATTGAGGCCCGGTTCATCATTTTAACTTGCATTATAGTTAAATACTTCTTTGAATACGTGCTTAGACTGCATGCTATCAAATTGATTCACATATCATTTTAAGTAGTCGAGCCTATTTAGATTGTATATCGCATGCGTTGCATTAGTCATATTGCATAGTTAGAATCATGCATTTTTCTAACTTTGTTACCTTTTTTGGCTTAGAGTACTAGGTGAGCTTTTACTTGCTTTAGCATATTGCATGAGTGTCATTGTTGCCATGTCTAGCATGCTTGCAATGAAAGCTAAGTGCTTAAATGATAAATTGCTTGAATGCTTGTGGATGAAGGCTAATTACTTGAATTGGAATAATTTGAGTAATGTTTATATACAGTCATTTTTTCAAGTGGTACATATTCAAAACAATTTTCAAACAAACATGAATCAAGTTTCCAATTCTTGAAAATTAGTCCATACTTGTGTGTGTGCGCATCACATAGTAATGCTAGCATAATAATCGAAATAACAGCATATAATGTAGATAAGATTCATATCATGATTAGTAGAGGCCGATCTTTGATCGGGCGAGCGGGGGTGCTCAATTCATGACCTTCCCCTCTCGTACCTAAGTTCTCAAGCCGAGGTAATCTTGGTGATGACGGACACGTGGCCTTTGGCACGAGTCATGGGTTTCTTAAATTTCCCAAAAAATTTAGGTGGCGAATTTGTATCTGGCAAAGCAGTCTATTTTTGGCAATTTGATTCAAAATCGATTATCCAAAAGATTTGTCAGGTTTAGACTCTTTGGTGTTTATCTATTTCACATTACACTTGTGGAATCAGATTTAGAACCGCGGGAGTCCGATACTGTAGGGCTTATTCGACTTTCGAGGGGGAGCACGAAAAGTCGAGCTACACCATCTAAAATAGCTCTAGATGGGGACAAATGTTAAAATAAAATAAAATAAAATAACTATGTATCCTAACCAGGTTTGGATAAAGGCTTTGTTGAGTTCATTAACCTATCCTATCTGTTTGTCTTATTCACAAATAATTTCACACACTAATATGGCTGTGAATAATTTATCCTTGATTTATGTATACTCCCAGCACAAAAGGTTCACATGAGTTGAACTAAAGCAAATTATGCGAGTTGAACTAAAGCAAATTATGCATATTGCACCAGGGCAGAGTGGCATGAAGAATTCATCATCACAATTGAACTAAAGGAAAATATGCATATTTTTGCAAGGTTGAATGACATGAAGAAGAGCACTTTCACCTATTACACCAATATGGTTGTAAACAATTCATCCTCATAATTTTGTTAAAGTATACACCCTGCACAAAACATTTACCTAAGTTGAACTAAAGGGAATTATGCATATTCCCCAAAGAAGAAGAAGTGACATAATGAAGTAGAAGTGACGTGAAAGAAAAACCAATATTTTTGATGCCAGAGAAACAAATGTGGCTTAGGATATAAAAATATTAAAGAATCAGAAAATAAGTTCTTACTGCTATTACAAGGAGGGAAAAAAAAATAAAAAATGTTACCTGAAATGGCATTCTAGTAAAAGGGTCAATATCACCTCTTGTTCTACCTTCTATTATATGTTGAGGTATCGATGTGTCCCTCATTAAGGTTTGATACAGAAAAAACAAATTGACATAGTGGAACCGCAAATGTAGCAGTGCATCAAATTACTATTAGCATTAAATCAAGGATTGTGTATTATAACTAAATGTTTAAATTGGGTTTCCATTGAAAATAAAAGTGTTTGGTTAGCCTCTCTAAATATATTTTCACCCCATGTTTTGCACATGGCGTTTGTTTAGAGTTTTTAAAATGTAATTCCACACTCAGTTTTGAAAACTCTGTCAAAAGCGGAAAAATTTGGGCTAACCGGTCGTCTGGCCGGAACAGTGCAAATTTTTTTTTTCAATTGACATATATTAATTTTTATATATTCAAAAAAAATATTTTTCGAATTTTTAAATTTTTTTTATGTGTTTTAATAGAATTTTGAGTTGTATGTTTGGTTATGAGTTGTAAGTTTTTGTATCAAATATCATATGTCACATAAAAAATTTCCCACTTAATTCAAAACACTTTTCAAAACTCTTTCACCAAATAAATTTTCGACACACAAATCATAATTCCAAAACTCACAAATTCAAAATACAACTCCTACTCTCAAATCATAGTTAGAAAGCTCTACCAAACGCAACCAATATCTTGCATCAATGTAGTGCTTTTGTGGAACCAAATTATTTGTTTTTTCTTTATGTTCTTTTATTTTTTATGATATTTTCCATTTCTTTTTTGTAGGAAATTAATACTACTTTTACATTGTTAACATGTGGTATGAAAAGATTTGAATAATGCTCCATTTGGTAATTAATACTATTATCTATTATTTGTTTTACTCTTTGTGTTGATTTTAGCAGCTTATTGTTTTTGCCACTAAGAAAGGAAGAAAAGACCTAATAGAGAAATTTGTAACCCTCCAACATGTTGTTTCATCCATTAATTATGCATGTGCTATGTATCTAGTGATTTTACATGCTGCATTCAAGAAGAAAGAAATTAGGTTGCAACTACCTAGATCAGCTCACCCCTATGGAAAACAAATTGACCATTTGAATAGATTGGTCAACAATAGTGACATAAATTGTCATGACCAACTTCGGATGAACAGGCGTACTTTCATGCTTTTATGTGGGTTGGTGTGAAGTGTTGGATTGTCTGATTCAAAGTATGTCGATTTAGAGGAGCAAGTAGCAATGTTTTTGAATGTGCTTGTACGTCACACTAAGAACTACAAAATTAAATTTAATTTCATGCGGAGTGGTCAAATAGTTAGTAAACACTTCAACGATATTCTCAAGGCTGTGTTGCACGTCCATGGTCTCCTCCTTAAGAAGCCTGAACCAATAACTGCTAATTATACAGATGATAGGTGAAGTTGTTTTCAGGTACAATATATTTACAACTTCGCTTAATTAGCATATTATATTTTTGTATTGCCTATATTAATTTTATAATATTGTTTTATTTTTAGAATTATCTTGGTACTTTAGATGGAACCTATGTTAAGGTTCTTGTCCCTGCAATAGACAAGCCAAGGTATAGAACATGAAAATGAGAAATTGCCACAAATGTATTGGGTGTGTGCTCCCAAGACATGCAATTCATATATGTTTTGCCTGGATAGGAAGGATCTGTTTTTGACTCTAGGGTACTTAGAGATGCTGTCAGTAGACCCAATGGGTTGAAAGTCCCTACTGGTATGATAATTATATATTGTTACATATATAAGTACACTATATCTATATTAAACAATTATTTTGTTACATACATAGTGAAACCATCTTACATAATTACAGGCCACTACTATCTCCTAGATATAGGTTACACAAATGGGGAGGGTTTTCTTGCACCATATAGAGGACAGCGTTACCATTTTTCTACATGGAAAGAAGGGGGTGCCCCAACAACTCCATAAGAGTTTTTTAACATGAGGCTCTCTTCTGCTCGTAACGTCATTGAGAGGTGTTTTGGGCTACTTAAAATGAAGTGGGCAATATTGAGGACTTATTCTTACTTTCCAATCAAGACTCAATTTCGTATTATCACTGCATGTTGCCTTCTCCACAATCTCATACAACGTGAAATGCCTATGGATCTTGAGGATGATGAGAACAAGGAAATGAATCCTCCTCCTCTAGCTATTGAATTAGGAGATGAAATGATTGATGTTGTTGAAGCATTTAATCAATGGAGTGAATGGAGAACTGCCTTGGCAACCCAAATGTTTAATGAATGGCAAGCAAGCAGAGGTCAATAAATTAGTGTTATATGATGATTTTTATGTAATAGTGAGAGTTTATTATGACATGTAATTCGAACCATATTTGTTTAGTTTTTGTTTGGTATTTGTAACAAATATTGTGTAATTAAGTTGATTTGTTATTTATGATTGACATGTGTGTTATGATTTAAACTTATGATATACATATATATAGGTATGGATGACACAGGTACCACTAGTTCTTGTAAGAAGGAGAAACGTCGAAGGTTTTGAAATCACCGTGAGGAACACTTCCTCATTACAACCATGAAGGATGTAACTACAAGTAATCTCAGGTGGAAGCTTGATAATAATCAGTTTAGGGCAGGTTTTTACAATGAACGTGAGAAGAAGATCTTAAGTGCATTTCTTGGAACTGATCTTCGAGCCAGTCCTCACATCGACTCGAAGATTAAGTTGTGGAGGAAACAATACAACACTCTTCAAGATATGTTAAAGATATGTGGTTTTGGTTGGGATGATGAACAAAAGATGGTGCTTGTTGATAGTGACGATGTATGGAAGAACTATGTCAGGGTAAATTTCATTTTTATGTTATTATTTGCATGTCTTTGTACTTATAAAGCAATATGTTCTTTTTAATAATTGGATAATCACTTGTGTAGAGGGTGCCAGATGCAAAAGGGATGCGAAATAGGCCATTCTCGTTCTATGAAGATTGGCTTATTCTATTTGGGAAGGATAGGGCAATTGGTGAACTGGCTGAGGATCTTGCTGATGCAGTTGTAGCCATGGAAAAGGAGGATGTAAATGCTACTATAGAAGAAGGAGAGCAGTCTCCTGTTGAACAGTTTAGTATGAACATGGGTGATATGGACTACTCAATGTCTACTGCAGGTAATGTTCCTAACCATACCGACTCTACTAAAACTGGGAAAAAACGGGCTCGACCTGCTGAGGGATTCCCACTGAACTATCAGAGATGGCAAAAAATCTTGGATCATTCATTGAAAATACTAATACTACGATAGTGGAGATTGCTCATAGGATAGGATATTCACATGACCTATCCCAACAAAGGAGGTTGGTTAATGCAGAACTTCTGAAGTTACCAATGAGTAATACCCAAAGATTGATGGCAACATCTATGATGGTGAAAGATGAAGAAAAAGTTGACTTGTTCTTCAGTTTAGATGAGAATGACAAGATGGAGTGGGTTTCTTTGCTATTGGAAGGTCATATTTGAATGTGGCATCTACTGTATGATGATCTTTTTGTTTCCTACATGACTTGTAATATATTATGTGATGCATAAATATTATAGCTTAGGTATTTTCTGCTGCTGCAATACTTTATCTGCTGCAAACCAAAGTATGATGGTCATTTTGTTGAGTAAATGTTGCTCCTGTGTTGGGCTGGTTAAGACTGGTTTTGGTAACTTGCAATCTGTTTATAGGTTGCTCTTATGTTGGGCTACAATATATTGTCTTGTATGCTGCTCTCTGCTACTGCTACAATTTGTTTTTTGCTTCTTTTGCTTCTTTAGCGAGTTACATCTTTAGATATATATTGTCCCATGTTTGTCTTGTCTGATCCCATGAGTTATGAGTGTAGGAAGCTGTACAAAATTGACTTTGATGCTAAAAAATATACAACAAACAACATGTTGAACAGCTTGTTTCCTTGGCCTGACAAGAATTCATGTCTTGAATTAATTGCTTGGTTGGACAGTCGGTATCTGATAAAATTCTTTTTTATCTATTGGGCTATTTTAATGTTTCTTTGTTTATCTATTGAGCAATTCTTATCTTGGTAAGCTCTTTGGACAACCAAGTGGAGAGACTTTTGGGATTCAAAAAGAATTTTACTAGAATTCTATAAAAATTATATACCGCCAAAGTTTCTAGTGTTTTACTTGAAAAAATTGTTACTAGGGATTTATTACTGTGAATGCACGTCATCCCTGCTGATACATACATCTAGTATTTGTGTGTTCAATATTGGCAGTAGAAAATTTGCAGTTCATGTATTATTGTTGTTATGCAGCTGGGCTTGGGATGTATGGAATGAGTGCTTTTTTGTGGGGATCTTTATGGCTAAGCCCAAGAAATTTGGATGGTATAGCAGCCTGGTGGTTTGGATTGAATTACAACTGTTTGAAAAAGGAAATCCTGAAGCTTTGGACTTGAATTTTGCGACCTCCTATAAGCTCGGTGACACTCATTTATGAGAAAAATAGGTGCAAACAGTGCTACAAAAATGCATAATCTCAGTAGGATTACATTTATAAGAATTTTTGTTAAAGGTGTATTTATTTTTGTTAGTTCGCCTCATAATTGATAAGAATTTTTTTTGTTAATAAATTAACAAATCTCACTAATTTTTTTTTACACATATATAATACAAAAACAAAATTTTACAATTTAAAATGATGCCCTCTAAAATAATATAAGAAGAGCAATTTTTTTTTTTGGATTGATAAGAGAAATTTAAATGGCATGCTTATGAGTGAAAGAATTAGTGAAATTTGTTATGAAAACAACATTAGTATGTGACCATTGTTGGGGATTAGAAATATGTTGCACTTGCCCTGTATTGCACTGTGGAAGTTGGATATTATAATTTCTATCAAATGAGGTATCAAATGGGATGCAAATCTACTATTTGGGTGGGAAATCTGCTTTGCTATTGGACTCACTAATATTAAAAAAAAAAAAAAATTGAATAAATTTTTTTTTTAATAATGAGATTCTTTAATATTAAAAAAGAAAAAGAAAAAAAAAAGAATAATAATATTGAGTAAAAATTTATTTATTCTTTACTTGGCATAAGTCCAAATTTGATAATATGCAAAAAGGGTATTTGTGAAATTTTACATGGTTAATCTCATTCTCATCTCTCAAAACAAATATAAACTATTACTACTCCATTGGTTATTAAACCAACACAATTTTTCTTAATCCCCTCACTAACATCCATTCTACCTCTGAAAACAAACGGAGCCTTATGAACATTAATCACAAGTGCACTTTTCCTACGTTTTTTGTATTCAAATTCTGTACATCTAATATTTTTTATTTTTTATTTTTTGAATAATATGCATGGTTTAGGTATGGGTAAAGTCTCACATTTTTATTTATTTATTTATTTTGATAACTTAGGATATTCAGGCCAGTTTGCGCACACCTCGACTAATTCCTAAGGACCATTAGGTGAGACTGATCACTAATTTCAACTCCTCAATTGATTTCAAAATTTTCCTTTATTTTAACCTGGTTATGGGTTTAACTCCTATACAAAGTAATTCAATATCCTTTGTGTTGTTTACAGCTAATTATCCAGTTTAATGTAATATTTTTTTTTGTATTCTCAATTAATCTCCTACATATTGAGACAAAAAAAAAAAAAAACTCTTTTTAAGTCATGAACCTGGAATTGAAATTGCTATGGGTACATTATATGAGTGGCCCAGCCTCAGCCGTATATTAGTACTAGTGCCTAGTAGTTTCTCTACTTGCAATTATTGAAAGGATAATATGTAATCACATTTTGAAACTCTTTATGTACAGAGTGGCTTTGGAGGTCACCATCCATGGTGGGAAATGGAGAAACGCCATTGTGGGCGTATGCAATGTAACAACTACATACTACCCGACACATGTTCATTCAAAACGTCTTTCAAAAGAGATATGTTTCATGTTTTATTTGAGAAAGATTATGTTGAAAGGCAAATGTTACTCTTTCCAAAAAAAAAAAAAAAAAATAAAAATTTAATAGAGAATGTTAAATCAGAATAATATGGTTGTGGAAATTTTGAAATAACAGGTCACATCGTTGGAATTTATTGGTTTGAAATGATAAAATTCAAATCTACTTCATCATGCTCCATGCAGATATTTCATAAATCTATATATATGGTTTAATTTTTTTCTACCATTTCTTGTAATAATGTCTTGATATGTGTCAGGTATAAATAATACGTTATAATGCATTGAAAACAATTTTAGGTTTTGTTTGGGAAGTGGGTTGACTTTTTAATTTTTTTGACTATTTTAGCTTGGGCTAAAAAGCCTGGTTTGAGAAAGACTTTTGACTTTTTTGAATTTTTTGAGAGAGAAAGAATGTAATGATTATGGATTGGATGTGATTTTTTTGTCTTATTGGAGCTAAAAAGTCTATTTTGTTTTTTGTGACTATTTCAACCCCAAGCCCACTTCCCAAACAATGCCTTAGTAATGTTTTAGAACAGAATAATTATTTTAAAAGTTAATTAATACAAAATGGCAGGATAAAAGTTGATTTTATCAATTTAAAAAAATGCCCATAAAAGGGGATTAAAATTTTAAAAATGTCCCTACTATTCTGATGATGAGTTTTGTCCTAAAAATTAAGATTAGACTCCCTTGCCTATCCAAATAGATGTTTAAATAGATTCTCGGTATTATCCGATAGGAAAAAGGAAGTGTAAGCACGAGCTACGTAAAACACCTGGATGGATTTCATATAAGTGGAGAATCAAAATCATTGCAAGAGACTAGAAAAGACCAAATTGAAGTCTTCAAGCCTCAACTACCAGCCCCATTTCAACATTAAAAGCTAAAGTAGATAATAAAGTGTGATTTTAAATTTAAAATTAATATAAAGTGTGATTATAAATTTAAACTTAGCATGATATATATATCATATTCAAAATAAATCTAGCCTACATAAATTTTACTTTAGTTTTCAATTTAAATAGTTTAGTCACTACAATTTAAATCTAAATTTAATTTATAAATAGTTTAGTCTCTACAATTTAAATTTAAATTTAATTTTAATTTGATTATTCTGTCAAAATTATCAATAATTTTTTTTAAGTGCACAAACACATGCAACAAAATCATTATTTTTAACACCAAATTTAAATAAAATGATTCAATTAAAATTGAAATTAAAGTATAAGAACCAAATTATACAAAATTAAACAATAAAAATTCAACTAAAATTTAAATCCGACTATAGTGTAATTGATTGAATTTTTTTTCTCACCGTAAGCTCGCCTCCAGCCTTAGCCAGTTGTCCTTTAAATTTTAAGTAATTTTTTTAAAAAACGTTTTTAGATGCTTCTTACTTAGTTGTATTAAAAAATTAATAAATACACAAGAATATGAAAAATATACTGAATTTTCGTATTTTTTAAAAATATTTTTTGGTATTTAGTGTATTTTTTAAATAATTTTTTTATAAATATTATACTTTTTATGTGTATTTATGTTAAGTGTGTCTAAATATTAAAAAAATTGATCAAAATATTAAAAAAATTCATTGAAAACATTAAAGTACAAAAAATAAAAAAGTAAAATTTTTTCAAAACTATTTTCTGAAAATCAGAACCAAACAAGCTGATTATTGTTTTTAATCATCAATCAAATCATATAATTTACACATTATTAAGTCTAGAAAATGGATGAGGCTTCTTTCCAGTTGAATTCAACTGGACGGTGTTGTCGACCGGCCGTGGATCCATCACAGAACTCATCTCGATGATCCAGACTGCTAATCTATAATGTCTTTTGAGAACATCATTCATGTAAAAAATTACGTTGATCGAATAATCGCAACTAGATAATCGGGTCACATTTATCTTAAAGATCTATTCTAAAAACTATATATATATTTCTTGTCTGTTTCTTTTCAAGATAAATGTGACCTGATCATATAGTCGCAGTTATCTAATCAATATAATTTTTTATATAAATGATGCACTCGAAAGATATTGCAATATGAGCAGTTGTGATTTTCGAAATGGGTCTTGTATTGGGCCTGCAGGGAGTCAACATCACTGTCTAGTTGAATTATTCAACTGTAAAAAAAGCCTCCTCCCTAAAAAATAAGTTTAAAAAATAAATTTTGTATAACATTTTTCATAATTTGTATAGACAAAATTCATACTTTGGAGAGTTTCAACTTTCCGCAGCCTAGCAAAACATTAGAAGAAAAAAAACCAAAATATATTTACACGTGTCAAGCCAATACTGGCCAGACACATTATAAAAGGCCACACATTTCTAGTAGTTTTACACCATCACACGTCGAGCCCAAAAAATGTCTACCAAAAACTTGCTACTGTTGTTCCTTGCAGTGGTGGTTCTCACCACTACCTCACTTGCCGACCACTACAAACCACCAGGTAATCCCGGCCACAAACCACCCACCGCAGAAGTAGAAGATGGTAAAAAACCACCAAAGGGACCAAAACCACCACCAAAACACAAACCACCAACCCCACTAGATATTGAAGTAGAAGATGGCAAAAAACCTCCCAAAGGGCCAAAACCACCACCAAAACACAAACCACCAACCCCTGAAGAATTTGAAGTAGAAGATGGAAAGAAACCTCCCAGGGGCCCAAAACCTCCACCAAAACACAAGCCACCAACCCCTGAAGAATTTGAAGTAGAAGATGGAGAGAAACCTCCAAAGGGCCCAAAACCTCCACCAAAACACAAGCCACCAACCCCTGAAGAATTTGAAGTAGAAGATGGCAAAGAGCCCCCAAAGGGACCAAAACCACCACCAAAACACAAGCCACCAACCGCGTAGAGCATTGAAGATGCTCACAAGCCTCCTCCCAAGAAGAAGCCTCCACCAACAACTTCCAACTGAGAGACTTAAACTATGTAAATTAAGTAAAATAAAAGAAACCAGTTGCGTAGCACTGGTTTGATTATCCTATGTTGTTTGTCACTGCTACTAGCTAATGGGCATGCATGTAACATCTTATTATTAATGCTACTTAAGCAGAACAATTAGTATGATATATGCTACTAATAATGTCTCTTGAGAATTTCATTTAAGAGTACCTACCATATATGTGAATGTTCTTAGCTGCATGGAGAATTGAAAATACTATTACCACATTATTTCTTTGTAAGGGTAATATTTTGCGAAAAATGCTTAGTGCTCCCACTAATTAGGTGGCAGTGGGTTCCGTCATTAATGATGTGATGTTTTGGTCTTGGAATTGTATTTTTTTTTTTTTACTTTTTTAATGCATTAGTGCTATTAGTGGTGATGTTTTTAGTGGAATGAATCATTGTTGATATTTTGCCAGGTCAAGAAATGAGTTGGAAGCAGTGAAAACAGAGAAAACACGGCAGGGTCAATAATATATGTATATATTTTTTTGAACACGGGGTCAAGAAATATTTGAAAGCAGTGAAACAGAGGAGAGGCGGAACGAGGCAAAAAATGAAGGATCTTCACACCAGGATTTTCCAATAAATATTTGGATAATAATAGTACTACATACTTAGAAAAATTATGAAGAAAATTATTTATATAAAAAAAAAAAATCAATGATTTACATTCGTTGTAAATGTAATACAGATCTTACAAGTTTTAAATTTATACCACACACATACTTTATAATATTGAGGGGTTATTATCATATATGGTGCTACCTAAACTAGTGTAGTACCAATCAAGCACATGCATTGTCAATGTCAGTGAGAAACCAAGAAACAACAGTAATTCCATACTCTCAAAACAAAAAAATTCAAAATTTGTAATGAAGGGCTAAGCTTTTGTCTATGATCCAACATAAAAAAGTTCAAGACTAAGGTCAAGTTTGGCATTCTTAAAAAAATTTAAAAAGTCAAAAAGTCACTATTCTATTTAAGTCACATCATCACTTCAAACTCAACCCATACCCAACCCATATTTCATAAAAAGTCAAAAAGTGCACTTATTTAAGACATCCCAAACAACTCCTAAATCATAGATCTAAAAATTGGAGTAATTTTTTGAGTGTTTAGACTTTCTTAAGAAACAAATTGCAGTGTGTCAGTATTCACAAAGAGTGAACAAAATTTTCTCGCATTGTAATTAAACCTCCAACAAAATTACAGTTAAATTTATATATATTTTCTAGCATATACATACCTTGTATTATATTATATGACACGTTAGATGTGATGTGTATCCAGTACACATATTTTTTAGTGGGATTTTTGGTGGTTCATGACCAAATTTATAACTTTTCTCAACCTTGATAACATTTTATATTGAGATTAAAGTTAACTAATAAAGTCTGATTTTACTTTACTGCTGCGCGGAAAAAAAAAACAAATTACTTTACTTTATCTATATTATCATATATAGTGCTACGTAAACTAGCGTAGTACCAATCAAGCGCATGCATTGCCAATGTCAGTGAGAAACCAAGAAGCAACGGTAATTCCAAACTCTCAAAACAAAAAAATTCAAAATTTGTAATGAAGGGCTATGATTTTTTCTACGATCCAACATAAAAAAGTTTAATCCTATATCATAGATCTAAAAATTGGAGTAATTTTTTTGAGTGTCTAGACTTCCTTAAGAAACAAATTGCAGTGTGTCAGTGCTCATAAAGAGTGAACAAAATTTTCTGACATTATAATTAATGTCCAACAAAATTGCGGTTAAATTCATATATATTTTCTAACATATATATACTTGGTATTATATTATATGACACGTTAGATGTGATGGGTACATAATACACATTTTGTAGTGCGATTCTTGGTGGTCCATGACCAAATTTATAACTTTTCTCAACCTTGATAACATTTTATATTGAGATTAAGTTAACTAATAAAGTCTGATTTTACTTTACTGCTGCGTGAAAAAAAAAAAAAAAAAAACTTTACTTTATCTACAAAAAGTTGTGCGTGACAAATGCAACATGTCCACACTTATCATATGCGAAAGACTCACAATTATTAGATGCTATTCATATTAACCAGCGACTGATTGTATGAACGATTATAAATGTGATGTATCGTATGATACACTCTTTAATTTATTTATTTTTTTAAATACAGATTATTTTATATAATTTTTAAAACTATATCATGTCTTTTTTAATTTTTAATATTTGCATAACAAATGGTCCATTATATTATTATATTATCAAGTCAATTAATAGTTTTTAATAATGTCAAGAATATATTTTAATTAACAACCAAGGTAATTTTATTGTTATATAGAAAAATAATTTTTTTTGTTAAATAAAAAATTATGACAAAAGAGGACATTTGTAATTTTTAGAACTATCGGAGGACAATCTGTGTTTTAAACAAATTTCACTGCTAGAAATTACACTTTTAGTGGCATTTACAAAATTACACTATAACTATTAAAAATGCCGCTAATTGTTTTTGTGATGTTTAGTATCAAACGCTGAAGATGTGGCCGTCGCTGTAACTTTATGACGCTTTAAAATCGTTACTATATTAGTATAATGACATCACACCACGTTTAACGACGTTTTAAAAACGACGTTTTAAAATAGATCTTTTTTATTTTAAAAATATAACCGTTAGCATTATTCTATAGTGGCGTTTAAAAATGCCGTTATAGCTTCATTTTTTATTGGGAAAATTAAACTAACAGTCCCTATAGTTTGGAGATTGTGTCACTTTAGTCCATGACTTTTCAATTGTGACATATTTGACCATGAATTTTGAATCTTATTCCAAATAAGGACAATTGAACATATCATTGCTTAATTTCAAAGGCAAATTGTCAATTTGATAAAATATAAATTAATTTGACAAAAATAAATGTCAAAAAAATATTTTAAAATATTTTAAAATTATTTTTACCCACCAAAAATAAAATTATGTAAAATTGATAAAAATTAATAAAAATTGCATGATTAATTTTTAAAAATTAATTTTACATGATCATCATCCAAATACATAATAAAAATTAATTTGATAAAAAAAAATGCCTAAAAGATTTATCGATTTTATATAATTTTATCTTTAGTAGGTAGAAATAATTTTTAAAAATTCAAAAATAATTTTTGATATTTATTTTTGCCAAATTAATTTATATTTTATCAAATTGATGATTTTGTCCTTGAAAAATCTAATAGTATCTTCAATTGTCCTTATTTGGAACAAGATTCAAAATTTAAGGTCAAATGTGTCACAATTGAAAAGTCACGGACCAAAATGACACAAGAGCCAAACTATAGGGACCGTTAATGTAATTCACCATTTTTTATTTTTATTTTTTAAATTGTGCTAATTCTGTGATATTTAACTAAAAAAAAATACCTCTAATAAAAATGAAAAATATTCAATAATATTGACTAAACTTTTGTAAACATAATACTGAATCAATTCATGCTTTTCAATATGCAAAAATATTTCAATTCCAAGATGAAATAAAGTTAAACTAGTGCCTAGTGGTAAGTTGAAAGTTATTACAAAACAGATCAGCACAAATGATGTAATTCAAATGAATTATACATACAAGTATTATGAAAGCATCTACCAACAAACAAAAATTTCCGAATTTTTCTGTTGATGCAGTCAAAGAAATGTCTAAAAGATCATTGAAAAAATAAAATGAGATCTGATATGCACTCTTCAATTCAGTCATGAGCTGCCAAAACTGCTACTGCAACTCTCTTCAATGATTCAGAGGCCTTGCGCAGATCAGATTCAGAAAATGAAATGCTGCAGGGAATAAAAGTTACATCAAAATTATATGTGAAAGGTGACATCAACACAATCTGCTACTTACCAGATAACAAAGATGCTCAAGTGTAAAACCTTTTCAAATCCAGCAAAAAATCTTTTGGGTCATAATAGAGACCTGTATTGTTTTCCTGTAGTGTTTTAAAGAGTGAATCGTAATTTATCTTAATAAAATATGATAAAATACTAAAAATTCTAAGTGTAATCATTATATTATATTTTAACATACATCCAATAATTCTTGTTATCGTATTTTTGTATCACTTGATATGACATGCTCACAGTGGTTAAATATTAATGAGATTTATGTAAAGTCTTTTTACATTAATGGTGTGGTGTACCAAATTAGATAATAAATAAAATATAGTTATTCTAGTATTATTGATATACACTACATATTTTATGTTGTCAAAATTACTAGTGTATCAATGGGCATGTGTGAGAGAGATTAAATTGGTATAAAGTATAAAATGTATCTGGATTGCATATTAATGTTTTGAGATAAATTTTTTAAAATTATAATAGTACTATTATTTTTTGAAACATCCTCCAAATGAACTGATGGGATCTTTCATATTATGATTGTAATGAAAGATCTTCATTATAACATTTAAGAATGGTGAAATGATCAAAATAATATATTATTATTATTTTTAATATAAAAAAAAAATTATTACAAAGTATCACAATCTCTTCCAGATTACCTGACTTTTTATTGATCATATTTGGACGAACATTGCTTTAATTTGTAGGTAGACTTGTCAAACTTATCAGCTTAGAGGGTCCCAGAGGAGCTCATCACATTTAAAGGCAATATACTAAAGACAAATTTCACATTAGTGATTTTCTACTAACCATCAATTTGACATTCACGGTACTGTGCTACAATTACCACAGACCACATACCAAGGGAAAATTCACAAAGTAATGATACGTGTCCTGCCGACAATGGCTCCAAACCCTTATAAAAGGCCACCCAAATGGCCTAATTTTGCATCACCAAAAAATCCAGAGTGCCCAAAGCAAAGGACATATGTCTCCCACGCACTTGCTAGTCTTGTTCCTTTGTGT